CCTGGAAACATTTGCACCACAGCTGGAGATTACTGATGATCGGAGATGTTTGTCGGCCTTACTGAGGCGCAGGCAAACTCCTCTACAGCAAAGTCACAGAAACGACCGCTCAACGTCCGGCTGTCCAGATGGAGCTGAAGAATCGTGCTGGGGATTAAAAAGACACAAAATCAACTTTAATGTTTAACATGATGTGTTTGAAGCAAAACAAAAGAGCTCAGAGAGTTTTAAAAGCCCTACCTGTTCACGCCGATACAGATGTTTGTCTCTGTGAACAAACACATGAAAGTACATTAGTTAATAGTTATGACATCATCGTGTGAATGTTTATGAAGCATTCACACAATTATGATCTATTTTTCTTCCTTAAGTTTTTCGGCATCTTTCTCGTTCTGCAGTTTTCAAGCTATTTCAACAAATGATAAATCAAAACTTTCAGCTCTTTCAGGACAATCCTGTTATGACTTTTGGTATTGGTACAACTTTAGCTTTTTGAAATATTTAGCCTTTTCTGCCACTTTTTTTTTTCTCTTAGAAAATGAATTGAACTCATTTTACATCGTTCAAATCTTTAGATCTGTTTACAACCTTTTGCAGCTCCATTCACATTTTGTTCTGGTTCAGTTTCTTTCAGCTTCCTTGTACAAATTTAAACTTTTCTTCAGCTACTTTCAGCTACTTTAGGCTAGTTTATGCTCCTTTCTGTTTCTTTCTGCTAACATTTTTCTGCTTCTTCTAACCTTTTTATGTTAATTTCAACTCATGCTCTTTTCAGCTTATTTCTGTAAGTTTCGGCTTTCTCTGCCATTTCAGCTACTATTTAACTTTTTTTATGCTAATTATAGCTTCTTTTTTTTTTAGCTAATTCTATATATTTTTTTGCATTCATTTAAACTTTTTTCAGCCTAATTCAGCAAAAAATGTGCTCTCTCTCCACTTCCTTTTGCAATTTGAACTTCTTTCTGTTTTCTTTAAAGCTACTTTACAGCTGTTTTTTTGCTAATTTCAGCTTTTTTTTCCCAGATAATTTCCACTTTTTTTGCTCATTTCTACTTCTTTCAGCCTAATTGGGCAAATGTGTTTTTTCTGCTTTATTCTGCTAATTTACATTTGTTCGACTTTTCGGCCACCTTTTATTTTTTAGCATTTTCTAGCTAAATTTGGCTGTTTTCAGATCATTTCAATATTTCGTGGTAATTTCTGCTACTTTCAGCCTAATTAACTTCTTTCTGCCAATTTCAGCTTGTTATGCTCCTTTCAGCTTAATTATGATAGTTTCAGCCTTTTTTGCTAATTAAGATACTATTTAGCTGTTTTATGCTAATTTTAACTTTTTTGAATAATTCCAAATTTTGTTAAGCTCATTTCAGCTCTTTCCACTTCATTCTGGTAGTTTAAGCTTCTTTCTGCCTCTCAGCTACTTTTCAGCATTTTTTGTTGTTGGTATTTTTAGCTGGATTTAATTTTTTTGCTAATTTCCTAATTTTTGTGATAATTTCTGTTTATTTAAACCCACTATGTGTTCTTTTTGCTTTCTTCTGCTAACTTAGGCTTGTTCTTCCATTTCAGCTACATTTCAGCGTGGATTTTTAGCTTATTTCAGCTGTTTTTCAGCAAGTTCTTCTGCATTAAGCATGCACACTGCATTTTTGCAGGAAATGCAATTTCTGTAGTTAATGAACAACCTTTTCTTTAAAGTTACAGCACTCACCATTTATCATTGTAACGTTGCACTGGAGAGAGGAAAAGTATGAAAATGGTTACGTCTTTAGATTCAAACCAGATTTTGGAAAAAAAAATAAAATGATACAAAATCCCATATTTACCTCTGTGCTGTATATTGTACAACCTGTAATGAAAACACAACAAATCCAAATGAATTATGTCTTAAATTCACCTCAGTTATTTTAAATAAAACCCATACTGTCACATAATCAAAAGGAGATACGAAATCAACAAATAATCATAAATAAGGTGTACTGACTTATCCTGTTCTATTTATCAGCTTAATATCTTTGGCATCTGATCAAATATGAAATATTGTCATAATCTTGATTTGGTCAAATACAGTTTATGATCAAATATAGTTTACGTAAAGTTGCATGTGGCATTTTAGTCCAAAAAAAAAAGAAGCTTTTAATCACTATTTCATGAAGTTCATGTAAATATTTTTGATAAGTTTTAACAAAAAAAAATCAACTAAACAGATGTTTTCAATGAAAACTGCAAAAAATGAAACAAGGTATTTGGATTTAAGACATCTTTTAAACTTTTTAAGTAAAGTGGGCTCAAGTTGTGACTGTTCATACAGGGTTAACATATGTTGCTTTGGGTGACATCTTTTCACTTTTAATGTTTGTTACGGATGACAGACAGGAGGGGATGGACTGCTGAGGTTCTGAGTAAAACAATAAATGTTTGGGGAGAGATATGACTAGAACAAATAAAACTGAATTACAAGTTTCCACAATAGAAACTGCTGCTCTAACCCAAAGTAAATTTAGTTTCATTAAGTCTCACCTGGTGGTATCAGTTTGAACAAAGCTGATTTGCTGGATAAGATGGACGATGCAACGTCAGAGGAAGCGACAGACACGGCCTCGTCCAGTCGGGTGAACCTGAAGCAACAAAGCCCATTTATCTCACAGCAATGTTTCATAAATAATTTATATTTACACTCAGAAATACCAAAAATGTCTTGATCAGAACTCACAGTGTTTTGTACGAGGAACAGGAAAGGTTTCCCTTTAAGAAGAAAACACAAAGAATGACTTCCTCGAACACAAAAGTGCATAAATTGTGAACAACAAGGAAAAGTTTCTCCTTTTTTACCGTCTCAAGGAACATAACGAGGTGAGACAGGAACTGTGGGAGTCTCCTCTGTGTCGGGGACTCAGTCAGGAAGTCAAACAGCACGTTGATGAGGACGTCTTTGTTGGGAAGACTGGGAAGTATCAGCAGCTCTGCACTCTGTTTAGGAGTGAGAAGCTGAAGAGCCTCCAGCTGCAAAAGGACAAAACCAAGGTCACAGTTTGTAGAAACAACAATCAGCATCGTCTACTTTTCTGAAA